ACCAAACACTATCTACAAGGTCAGAGAATCAGATCAATATTGTACAGACATTGCAAATTTAATTTACTGTTTAATCATTTTAATGTGGGGGGTCAATGTTCATGAATAACCAAAATATTGACAAAGTTATTGTTCAAGGGGATGTTAATCCCTGATTAAGGGTGATCCAAGTACTCTGATCCTTAAAGAACCCCTGTGATGATTCCACATAGTTTATTGTGTTGATCCATAAAAACACTTTTGAGCTGAGTAATTTGTCTTTATATTTTATTTATAAAAAAACATTTCATTTTACATAGGATGTCCTGGTCCCCCTTGTACTGGGTAAAGAGAATGATCTCAGACAGATGGCACTCCGAATCATATGTAGTGAGAGACCCCCAGGTGAGTGATAGCTAAACAAAATTGTCGTAAACAAACGTGTGAATTTTCAAAACCTTTATGATTATCTTCGTAATAAGTTAACAAATTCAATCATCAAAAATTTGTACCTAATTTTTTATCTCACTATCAATATTTTCATAAATGTGCTTTTAATGCCACTGATGAATAATTTTAAAACTTACCTTTTAGTTGGAGGGATTGCTGTGAAGGAGCACTTTGAGGTGAATGTTGTCCCGCTACAGATTCAGATGACTTACCAGTTCTACAAGACAGTCATGGAATTCTTCTTCCCTGATAAAAACATCGAAACAGAAGGCCCGGGTGAGATAGAGATGAAGCACATGATTATTTTAAAATTTGTCGTGTCTTATATCAGCATGTTCTGAATGTCGATGTTGAATGTTTCTAAAACTTGTATCTTACTGTTTTATTTGGAGGGTCTGGAATGTATACCTGTGTAAATTGGTTCAAAATGTACTCTCTTCTGACATCATTTTTTTGAAATGTAGAATGAAGAAAATGCTATTAAATCTTTATATAATAATATATACACTATTTGATAAGATGGAGAGACAGAGAAGGCCCCCATGAAAAAGAAAGTGGAGAAGCGGCCCTCCATAAAGAGAGACAGTGTCAAACGAAGCTCCTCAGCTCATAACTTCGCAGAAATCGACAAAATGAAGGCAAGTGTTTACATGAAATTAAACTCATGATATGTATGGAATAAACAAACTAGTGTTGTGCAAACTTGAGATTTACTCTATACTTCATAATTCTTACAGGAAAGAGCTTCAAATAACAACACCTTTGTGTACGTTAAAATCCCAGAAGTTTCTCTCCGTGTGAGCTACAAGGTATAGACAATGTTACTTTGGACTCATTTCTTATAAATTGACTTGTAGTGATAATGCCCAATGAGTTAACTAATATCTAAAATCTTTAGGGTGAGAAGGAGAAGAATATAGCAGACATCCATGACTTCAGCATCGTCCTACCCACCATGGAGTACCACAATCAGATCTGGACCTGGTTTGATCTCCTGATGGCCATCCGGGGTGACACCAAGAGGGTCATTCTGTCTCAGGTTCGTCCTCCTTAAATTCTCATGTTTTTATATCTTAGGTAACATAAAGAGCAAAAATCACTCTTACTGATTAAAAAGGTTATATTTGCCATTGTAAAGATGAATCTCCTTGTACATATGTTTGAGAATTTAACATTTTATAATTTTTTTTAAGCTGGAGATAAAACGATCTTTTGAAATCTTGTAACTGTTGACTGACCCCTGATTCATACTAAATCAATCCTTTTATAGATTGTGTATTAACACATATTTGATGTCCTGTTTGTAGGCTATCAAACAAAAGCTACACATGAAGTCCAGGGCTGGTGAGGAGACACCACTTAATGATGTTCAACAAGAGGAGAACAAAATGAAAATGCTACTTGGTGCCAAAGTCCTGGTAAGTGTCAAGGGCAAATGTTGCTTGGTGCCAGTGTCAAGGCCAAATACCTGGTAAGTGTCAAGACCAAATGTTGCTTGGTGCCAGTGTCAAGGCCAAATACCTGGTAAGTGTCAAGACCAAATGTTGCTTGGTGCCAGTGTCAAGGCCAAACACCTGGTAAGTGTCAAGACCAAATGTTACTTGGTGCTAGTGACAAGGCCAAAGTCCTGGTAAATGTCAAGGCCAAATGTTGCTTGGTGCCAGTGACAAGGCCAATGCCTGGTAAATGTCAAGGCCAAATGTTGCTTGGTGCCAGTGACAAGGCCAATGCCTGGTAAATGTCAAGATCAAATGTCGCTTGGTGCCAGTGTCAAGGCCAAACTCTTGGTAAGTGTCAAGGCCAAATGTAGTTTGGTGTCAAATTCCTGACTCTGGGACCATAAACTTCAATTAGCTCACTCTTGATCTTGGTCTTAGCTTTCTACTTTAACTTCCTTTGGTAATAGTGAGACGGAGATCATAGTAGGTTTTATGGCCCTAGAGCCTGGTAAGGGAATGCAAAGGAAAAAGACTTTCCTATAAGTACTTATAGAAGTACAATGTTTTTGGCTGTTTCCTTTCATATAGTGTATACTTGAGTAATTGTCTATCTTAAAATTCTAAGACTTATTTACTGTGATGCAGTGTATGAATAAAATGAATATTTTTTTTAGTAAAACGATTTATGGACAATTTTTGTGAGAAATACAGATGTAAAATATCTGTGGATAGTTTCCTTTGCTTTATAAATGATAAAAATGAACATACATGTAGTTCTTCTTTTTAATATACACATGAGAAAAATGTCTAAAGATTTCTTGGGAAATAGATTCTTTTGGAATCAGGTACCTTTGGAATCCATTGAAATACATTATATCAGAGAAAAATCATTCCCTGGCAGCTCTGATATCTTTTCATTTTTTACAGGCTGGTCAGGAAAAACCCGCAAAGAAAGGAATATTTGGAAAATCTCAAAAGAAGTAAAACTCAATTGTGAGAACAACACAAATGATGAAGACGAGGAGATAATGATTGCTATCATAACAGTGTAATGCTGTTTGACATCTACAAGAGATGTAAACTGTTTTTTTTTTTTTTTTTTGCTTTTCTTCTGTGCCAGAAGTCTTTCTTACATGTAGTTAATATATAGCTATGTTTACTCAAATATAGATGTATGTGTATATTGTAAAATCAATTTTTATTAGGACAAATTTTACTGCTTTGTTGAAAACATACTGGTTCAATGAGAATGGTTTTGGTTATTGAGGAAGTGCTGAGTTTTCATACAAGTATTTTACATTTTGTTGGAGGGGATGAAAATAAGGTCTCTTTATACCCTAAAAACATCCAATTTTACCTCTGTATAATATATTACTTCACTGTAATTTATTTTGTGCAATAATGAAATGAAAAAAGAATATTTCTCAAACATATATACATGGGTTATGAGATTTGCATATACATGGTTTTCTGAATAATACAACTAATTAAAAAGCACAAATAATTTATGTATATGTAAGATATATTTTATGATACTAATTCTCTTCCATCTTTTAAGTTCCCTTCTATTGTTTAATTCCTGTAATGGAATAATTTTTCTAACAATATCACCAGAGAAAGAAAGAGAATGTGGATTATAATTTTACACTGTATATGGCGTAATGTTGTTAAGAGAACAACGATAATTGTTTTATGGTGCTGCTCTTGTTATGCTATTTATTGTTGAATATAACGTCTGTGATATTCATTGCTTTAGTCACGTTTTAAATGTTTTAGATTCACTATTTTCTGTGAGGTAGAACTTTAATTTTATTTTAGCTGCAAGTCAGGATTAAGCTTGTAGTTTAAAGCTCAAACTTTTGTACTTATTTATTGTTGTGTGTATTTAAGGTTCTGCTTATTTAACAGGTTGGGGGGAAACGTAAATTCCGCTATAATAGTGGTATCTCACTATTATAGTGAAATTACGCTATATTTCCTGCCGTGGATACCTTCAATTTAATCCAATACCATGCTAGGTGTTTGAACCGCAAGTCATGGTGGGTATTAAAATGAACAAAAACTGTCATGCTTGCATGTTTTGAATTTTAATAATTTTTCTACCGTTGCGTTTAAGAATGCGAGCACTCTTTTTTTAACGGAAGTTGCATTTTTAACATAGCAACCGATGATTGCGGGGGTATCTAAGCCTGTTTGAATCACACTTATTCCTCATTAATGTGCAGAAATTGATGCTTGTTACAATTGTCAACTCGAACTGGAAAGGCTTTATGAAATTAAACAAGAAAAAGATTATTTTTGTCTGCATGGTTACGGATATGGAGGCCCATTATGGGAAACGTAAAGACCCTTTATGGAAAACATAGAAAAGAGTATATTGAAAAACTCGATTTTATCCTTAAAAAAAATCAATATATAATAAATAATCCAAAAATTATTTATATAAACGATCGTAGAAATATCTCGGTTTTAATTTCGGCTGGTTAATTGTATATTTCAGAAAAAAAAAAGACTCAATTTATTTTTGTGTTGGGAAAATTTTACAAGAATGCCTGTGACCTTATTATAACACATGTTCAAATAATTATTATAATTGACAATCATATTAACTCCGCACAAACGTATCTTATTTATTAACGCTTTATGTATATGCAATTAGGCAAGGACGATTTAACTTTAAAATCTGAAAGAAATAGCTTAAGTTCTTTTTCTTGTTATTCGAAAAATATATAAATCCAAATATATTCATTTTAATGAGAGTATATCGCTAAAAATCACATTAAAAGTATCAATTTTTCAGACTTCTAGATTTATGCCAAAGTGTTGTTTAAACCACAAGGAAACTTCAAATAATCAATCGCCACTGCTCAATATTCAGCAAGGAAAGTGTCTAAAATATTATTGACTCAATCTAAAATTTCAATAATTAGAATCAAATCGCTCGCAAACAATTTAGCATTTCAAAAAGTACTTTCACGATTTTGAAAGCCTATCCATGCAACGTAAGCACAAGATATTCAAAGCTGAACAAGAATCTTGAGAAGCGTAAATTTTAATTTGTCCCCCCCCACTTTCAAAAACGATGCTACGTGGCTGTACCCTGGATCTTTATCACGTGATAATGCTCTTTGTTTCTGCAGAATAAGCTATGCTGCAAGGCGCTTTGCAAAATGTAGAAACAAAATTACCCTTGTATCATTCGCAGCTGTAACGTATTCAAAACAATTTTAACTAGTTGAACAGTTTTTCATTTTTTTTAACCATGCACTATGTACCACGTCATTACTATCCTCAAAATCATAATTTCCTTTTATATCTATATAGTACCTTTTGTAAACTCTTTATAAAAAATTATCATAGGCGCTTGGGTCAAGGATGCTGTATTTTTTTCTATATAATGTATTGTTGAGGAAATTCGAACTATACTCGTAACATTTTTTTTTCAGTGTGTAGTGTTAATTTTTAGTTTTTTGTAAACCTTTCTGCTTCATATACACTACAATGTCACGGAAATGCGATTTTATGCACGCTTTAAAAATGACATATCCCATTTTTAAAGCGTGCATAAAATCGAATTTCCGTGATATTCTTGTGTATATGAAGCAGATAGGTTTACAAAAAACTAAAAATTAACACTGCGCACTAAAAACAAAATGTTACGAGTATAGTTCGAATTTCCTCGACAATACATTATATAGAAAAAATACAGCATCCTTGACCCAAGCGCCTATGAAAATTATCAAATATCTTGAGGAGAAAAGACAATGAAATTGAAACATTATATCAACGATTAATATTTAGTTTAAAGCAAATTTTACTTATGATTTTCTACCTGTCATAAATGAAGAATTATTTTACTGAACTATTACAAAAATAACCTCTTACTTCCCATGTGCACTATCTAACACAACCACAATAAGATCGGCCAGAGCAGCGGCGGCCGATAATAATGGGTCTTTACGTTTACAATAATGGGCCTCCATATCCGTAACCATGCAGACAAATTAATCTTTTTCTTGTTTAATTTCATAAAGCCTTTCCAGTTCGAGTTGACAGTTGTAACAAGCATCAATTTCTGCACATTAATGAGGAATAAGTGTGATTCAAACAGGCTTAAATACCCCCGCAATCATCGGTTGCTATGTTAAAAATGCAACTTCCGTTAAAAAAAGAGTGTTCGCATTCTTAAACGCAACGGTAGAAAAATTATTAAAATTCAAAATATGCAAGCATGACAAGTATTGTTCATTTTAATACCCACCATGACTTGCGGTTCAAACACCTTGCATGGTGTTGGATTAAATTGAAGGTATCCACGGCAGGAAATATAGCGTAATTTCACTATAATAGTGAAATACCACTATTATAGCGGAATTTACGTTTCCCCCCAACCTGTTTAAGTCATCTATTTTCACAATAAATTATTTTTTTTGTATTATTAAGTTCAATGATATATATATACATTTGTGGTATCTTTCCATTATATAAACATACAGAGAGAAAATATCTTCAATTCTGCATGAAGTTTGTCAGAGGTCAGAGGTCAATACGTGACCTAATCACACGGCGCAATAATATCTACCGGTACATGAATTATAAAATGACCTGCTCTGCTTGCTTTTCATGTATAAAAATGAATAAAATAAGCAAGTAAAATGATAACATTATTTTATTTTAAATGTAAACAAGTATTTCATACAGTTTTTGGGCTATCGATTCAACCTGTGTACATAGAGAAAACTAGGAGCCAAGCGTTTGTTTACATTTTTCTTCACTTTTGTCAGTTGCACAGTCTCTAACGTTCATCCTTATTTTTTGGATAGACCTTTGCTTAAATTTTCATGATAAACTTTTATTTTATCTTTAAATTTTACTCACGATAAATGTGTAAATCTGTTGGAAAATATCTTTGCAATCATGCCATGAACAGCTGCCAAACACCTCGGCGTTTTCGTAGTTCAATGTAAAGCTGTCGCCAGTGTCTCCGTGTTTATCAGTGTTTTACGATAAGTATGCCTTTAGTTGCTGAAACCGTGGAATGTTTTTGATGAAATTGCAAATTAACTGGCTCGAACAAGTGCCTCAGTCCATGATCCATCCATCCCTTTCCAGCGACCGAAATTCCTCCAACTTTTTATCATCAAACTTCGGACGTGTTTCTTGTGTCTTTTCAGCATCGATTATCATTTTTCACGAATAAAATATTCCCAGACAACAATCTGTTCACTATTACTGATCACAAGCAGCCTTTCACAAAATATTCCCTTCGAAATAGATTCCTTAGCCTAATGAATTCGAAGCGTAACCGCCATGCAAGCCGATTTACACCTTGCGTCATTTTTCAAAATCTACGACGGACGGTTAGTGCAATAATTTAAATTCGAAAATATTCAATTGTCTGTCTCAAATGTATATATAAGTAATAAATAACAAGTTTATAAACTTCAATGGGAATTGAAGTGGGTCGGTACGTGATCAAATCTTCTGAGAAGGCCTTCGGCCTTCACAGGATTTGATCACGTGACCGACCCACTTCAATTCCCATTGAAGTTTATAAACTTGTTATTTATTTCTTAAATACAATATCAATACATATTGCATTGTTTACTTTTTTGTTGGTTTCCTTTTTTAGCTCCACACCCTTTCTCCAGCCTCAGTCTATATGTCTGTTCATTCATCAGTAAACTTCACATTTTTAACTTTTTTCTCAAGAAATCCCGGTTTAAAGAACTATATGCGGTATATTGCATATATTTGCCCCCACAAAAGTCAAATTTTGAAAACTTTCTGAAATGTGCTGAATTTAATAAATTTTATGAGAAATATAAATTAACAGAAAATATTATAGTGTCAAAGCAGTGTATTCACAATTTTTGTTTTTATGACATCACAAACTAGTCCGATTTTATATCCTTTTTCAGAAAGAGGACAAAATGGACAAAATTTCAACAATTTTAGCTTTTAAATTTATAGAGCGCAAGTTTGTTCAGGAACAATATTGACATATTTCATTGATATTATCATTCTACACATTATTTCAAATTATTGGTCCTGAACACACATGCGCTCGGTGACTTTTACTCAAAACATCGACGAAATATGGACATTTTTCTGTAAAATTCATAAAAAACTGAAATTTACGTCATGTTTGTGACGTCATTACGTACATATGGCGTCATTACTTATGAAAACATTCAGTGCTTTGAAGTCAGCAAATACTCCCCTGTTTAAGAACTTAATTAACTATATTTCCATCAAAGTTTTATTTGGGGGGCAAATATTGGTTATTACCGAATAAAGTTCTTTAACCAAAGTTGATACAAAGCATCCCCGAGTGAAGGACCAAACCTCCTTCTAACAGCACTGCAGCTTTGGCATTAGAAATAAAGGCTGGATAAGTCTGTACCCTAATGCCAAAGTGAACTAGAGACGCCAGTTGACTAGAGACCTCTTGATCAGTAACCAGGACCCTTGGTTGGGCCTGTTGTTCGAGACATTGGTTAAGGGTAGGACAGGTGGTCCAAGGGCCCGTTTTACAAAAGAACTTACGACAAGGACCAAAAACTTCAAATGATTGTAAAATTTGCAAAATTGATAATTTTCTTTGAAATTGTTTGTGTAAAAATATCTTACCAAATTCCTTTTAAGAAGTTAAATATAATTTTCGATGTAATGTTAATTAAAAAAGTTATATAAAGAATTATATTTGGTCTTAAGTCGTAAGTCCTTTTGTAAAACGGGCCCCAGAGTCATATTGTCCCTTGATTTTGTTAAGATTAGTTATGCGAATCGTAGTAAATATATATTGATTAAGTAAATTGTTTAAATATTCATAAATATATTGATTAAGTTTGTGTCCTAGTGGACAAGATACAGATCATTTGTTTAGGTTATTTCAC